TGTCCACAGGTGTTCTGGTCCATCTGTCCACAGGGGTTCTGGTCCACTCCTCATGATCAAACTGCTCCAGATGTCTCAGTCCTAAAGGGTTCTCTCTCCAGATATTTCTGCTCCTTCCACAGATGTTCAACATAATTTAGATCAGGACTCACATGGCCTCTTCAAAACAATCCGATTTTTGGTTTTTGGTGGTTCTATCTGGATTTTTCAGGGCCCTTATCCTGTTGGTGGATCCAAGAGCAGCGACTGAGACTAAGCTCTCTGCCACTGAGCAGCAGATTTACTTCATTAAGTTCCTCGAGTCAAAAAATATTTTTATTTTCTAGGAGTACCAATCTTTTTTGTTGAGGCCATTTTCATTAGTTTATTTTTTCAAATATTTCAGTTAAAGCAAAATTCTAAATCAATACCTAATATTTATTCACAATTTTTTTCTTCTTTTACTGACTTTTGTTTGTTTTATGTTACTTCAAGGATCTTGTTGGACCAAAGTTCATGCTCAATAATCCAGGTATACAATCCAACATTTTTCCGTCAGGTCATCTGGACAGTTTCTTTTTTTGTACTGAAATGTTTCACCTTCCATCCGGAAGGCTTCATCAGTCAAGGAAACACACAACAAAACTGATTCTTCCCCCAACAGCTTACTCCAAAGTGGAACAAACCAGTCATGTTGGTGATAAGATGGTCTCTTTATCATGCCCCCTCCTCCATTGCCGGCCCTCTTCCTTGTTGACAGTCGTGTCAAACTGGTTGAAAACAACAAAGTCCATGCTCAGTAATCCAGGTACACAATCCAACATTTTCAGTCAGGTCATCTGGACAGTTTCTTTTTTGTGCTGAAACGTGCTGAATCCTAATTTCTGTCACTTCATTCATCAGATGATGGTCTAGAAATAATGCTTACCAGTTTTAGCAATAAACAAATAAATAAATAAATGAGGCACATGTTCTAAAACAAATGGGAAAGTATTTCCCCAAATGTATCCCTCTTAATGAATGACAACTTTCTTCACAGAGCTTCTAGTGTCGTAGACAGCACAGTGTCTCAGTCAGAACAGATTTTATTGTGGGTGTTAGTAAGCGCCTACTTTACAGAACCTCTACAGTTTAATACAGAAAGAAAAGCTATCAGTGAATTGTGGCGTCTGCAACAGGATGATGAACATCTGTCTGACAACACATCAGCATTTTCTGCTCTTCTGAACTCTGCGGCTTCCACGCATCAAGGCTCATTATGGAAACATCTTTTCTGACAAACAAAGCAATAAAAGTCTTCCCTGCTGCTGTGTGTTCCTGAGAACAAAGTTCTTCCCTCAAACTGTTTTTGTGTTCTTGTTGTGTACAAACAGGAAGAAGAACTGCGACAGAGCGGCGAGGCCAAATATCAGCACCTGAATGAAGACCTGCACGTTCTCATCGAGGTATTCGCCCCCCCAGCCGAGGCGTACGCCAGGATGGGTCATGCTCTGGAGGAGATCAAAAAGTTTCTCATACCAGTGGGTTCCCTCACACACACACACACACACACACGCACGCACGCACTCACGCACACACACACACACACATGCTGCTTCTCTCACATACATTCACACACACTGTTTGGGACTTCTTCTACAAACCTATTCTGACAAAGTCAATTGAAACAGTTTGAATAATTTTAGGGAAAAAAAAGATAATTTGGAGTTTTTATGGCAGAAACATATAATTAAAACATGGAAATAGGATCATGTGTCCCACTGTGAAGCACCTCCCTCTTTTTTTAACAGTCTGTAAATATCCAAGATCTGAGGAGACCAGTTGCTCGAGTTTTAGTGGGGAATCTTGTGTCATTTTGATTGTACTGATCTGATCTAGGATTCTAGCTGTTCAATAGTCCATCCATCCATCCATCCATCCATCTATCCATCCATCCATCCATCCATCCATTATCTTTTTTAATTTATTAGCTTCTTCCATTTTGGGTCACGGGGGTCACCGGTGCCCATGTCCAGCAATCACTGTAATATGATTAAAAATGTTGAAATAAGGTCTCTCTTGTAAATGAGTCCTCGAGGCTCAGTGGTATTTACCTGTCTAAATAAAGGTTGAATGAACTGTGCTAGGGGCAGGGTACACCCTGGACGGGTCACAAGTCCATCACAGGGACACATAAAGACAAACAACCATTCACTATCTCACTCACACCTAGGGACAATTTAGAGTTACCAATCAGTCTAACATGCATGTTTTTGGTCTGCGGGAAGAAACCAGGGTACCCGGAGAAAACCCACACATGCACGGAGAGAACATGCAAACTCCACCCAGAAAGGCCCCTGGACCGGGATTTAAACCGGGTACCTGCTCACTGAGAAGCAGCAGCTCAATCAGTTGTACCACCGTGCTGCACTGTTCAATAGTCCTTTTTTAAAATGTCATCATGCACAGGATGTGTTTTTAAATATTGAGGTCCAGTCTGCAGACAGACCTGGACTCTTCTGCTGTAAAACCATCTTGTCGTCTGTGGTTCAGGGTCGCCCTGCTGAAATGTCAGCATCCTCCCTGAAAAAGACATTTTCTGGATGGGAACAGATGTTGATCAAAAACCTGTAGGTACTTTTCTGCATTGATGGAACCTTTACAGATGTTGTAAGCTGGCCATGCCATAGATACTAATTTAACCCCATACCATCAGAGAGGCAGGCTTTTGAAATGTGCATTGATAACAGACAGCATGGACCCTGTCTTTTTTAATGTGATGGATGTGGCATCTGTAAATTCCACAAACAGTTTCAATTTTTGATTTGTCTGCCTACAGAACAGTTTTAAACTTTGCCTCAGACAAATTTAAATTAGTTTTGGCTCAGAGGAGATAACAGTGATACTAGATGGCGCTCACATGACTTTTTCTTTGCCTAATACAGCTAGCTCTCATTACTTATTTTTAGCCTTTATTAGATTATTCATTCTTTCCAATTTTCTGTTGAGGACCATTCTTCTGGGATTCTTACATTGTTTATAGACCCAACAAAGTCAAGTCAGGTCCTCTGGACGGTTTCTCCTTGTTGAAATGTTTCGTCTTTCATCCAAAAGACTTATTCAGTCTGAGGAGCTGCAACAAACTCACTCTTATAAATAGCACCTTCTCATAGTGGATCAACCAGTTTGATGGTGCTGTAGTCCACCCTCTCCCCCAACGCTTGCTCAAACTCTCAAACTTTTGTGAGGCATTCATGGCCAAAGTGGTTCAAAAAAATCCTGTATTCTGAACCACTTTGGTCAGAATGGTCAGTCAGGCTGGTTCCAGTATGAGGAGACACAACCCTGTTTGCTTTAGACAAGCAAACCTGGTTTTGGCTGCAGCAGCAGCATGAAGTTTATTTACTCTCTCTCTCCATTCATAATGGATGATGTCTCTGATGCTCAGAGCTACAATGATTTGCACCTCCTCATTAATTATCTGCAGACCCCTCCAACAACAACTCCTTCTCTGTTCCTGCCTCTCACTGTCACCGAAACACAGATTTATCGATTCAGCTAACATGAAAATCATATCAGTCATTTAGCAATTAAAGACCTATTTTCATATTAATTATGTGTTTTAATTTAGTGGCAAAAAGCAGCTGTGTAAGGAGATAAAGCCCAACGGGGTCGTGAAGCGTTATCAGCAGGAGATCTGAAATGTTTTGCTGCTTCAGGAGTAGCGGTCACAGCACTACTGTAAAGTACATTAATTAGATATTCCCCGGGCTGCAGGCCTGGAGATAAAGATTGTAATTTAATACAGTGTAATTGAAAGCGAGTGTATTGCCGTCACAGAGAGTGTGTGTGTGTGTGTGTGTGTGTGAACATGATGCCTCTGTGTGTGCAGGATTACAATGATGAGATCAGACAGGCCCAGCTGCAGGAGCTCACATACCTAAACGGTGGATCAGAAGAAGCCAAGGTGCCGTCGGCCAGGGGCAAGTCATCCGCCCGTGGCAGAGGAACACCTGTTCCAGGGCCCCCCAGGTAACCTTCCTCTAAATGAGCACCTGTTTGCACGAGCACTTCATCCAGCTGACAAATGTATCACTAAAGCAACACAGGAGTTTTTTCTTTTCTTTGTTGATGCATACAAGAACTTGTTTAGGCTAAAACGTATTATCAAATGTTCTACTTGTACTTTTACACAGAACGACAACACAAACCTTTTTTAAATTAACTTTCTAATAATACTCTATATTATTAGATATTTTATTGTCTTTTTACTAACAAAAAACTAATTTCATTCACAAGATAGACTGAAAGAGCTATTTTTTATTTGAAATCTAAATGTACAAGAACAAGACCCTGATTTGTAGAATATTTATCAGAAAGAAAATAGAAAAACATGATTTTTTTATTTTATGAAAAACGTTAAATTATAAAGCAAACAAGACGTTTCTCTGCGACAGATTTGATTGTGCATGAAATGCAATATGTTTTTGGTTGAAGCTTCTTATCAAAACAAATCAAATCAATTTTTTTAAATTGCACTTTTATTTTTGAACAACTGAAACTGGCCGAAGGGCTGCATACAGCTTAAATACAAGGAGATAATACTGAACACAAGAGGTCCCAGGTCCCTCTTACAAATGAGATGCTGATCTCAATGGAGCTTTAACCTAATTAAATAAAGGAAATAAAAAATGAGGTCATAAAAACAAAACAATTTAAAATATAATTAGAGATCATATAAAACAAACAATACAATGATGCAACTCTGTCGTCTCTAGTCATGTAATAAAAGTCAGTGAGTACAGATGTGTTTTAGGATGAGACTTAAAAACACCAACAGTTGAAGCATGTCTAAGTGAATCAGACTGTCACAGTGATGACTTTGTCTAAATCAATCCTGCTGAAACAAAGTAAAATGGTCAAAAGAGGCACCAATGGATAAAAAAAGAACATTGTATTAAAAAAATGTGAGTTGGCTGTGAGATGTTGAAGGTTTTGTTTGTTTCTACTTCTTCCCAAACTGGTATTGGAAGCATGTGTCAAACTGTGAGGTTGGACTGAATCAGGCTCATTTGCATAAAGCACTATAGTCTTTAAATCCTGAAAGGAACCAAACTCAATCCCCCGATCAATAAACAAATGTGACCAAATAAATGGAATAAAATAATCTGCAGAACTTCTAAAGTCAAGTGCTAAGAATGGGACATGAATGGACAAAATCCAAGCTTTGGACAATTCCCAATGTATCCCAAAATAGTTTAAAGCTTTTTAAAATATTTATAAAATCCATAAATTGTACAAGAACCGACAGCCATAATTATTATCTCCTGATTAAGTTTATCAGTAATAAGTTTTTATGGTTGCAATAGAGTTATGAAGGAAAACCAGCCACTGGGGAGCACAAGCCAGTGTATCCCTTGTGCCAGTCCCAAGCCTGGGTAAATGGTGAGGGTTGTGTCAGGAAGGGCATCCGATGTAAAACACTTTTGCCAAAACCATAATGCAAGTTCATCAAAGAAAAACCATACTGGATTAGTCTGGAAAGAGAAAGTGTTAAATATACATTTCACAATTTGCTGCGACTTAGCCACAAGCAGGAAGTTATAATCAAAAAAGCAAATCGTTCTTGTATTTTTTTTAAATGTCTATCCATTCATCCTTCGTCTTCCGCTTGTTCCAAAGTCGGGTCGTGGGGCAGCAGCTTGAGCAGGAAGGTCCAGACATCTCTTTACACAGCCACCTCTTCCAGCTCTTCTGGGAGTACTCCAAGATGTTCCCAGGTGAACCAAGAGACGTAGTCTCTCCAGCGTGTCCTGGGTCTTCCCCGGGGACTCCTCCCAGTCAAGCTGACATTCAATTATAAATAAGATGACTGATTTTAATATAGCATTAAATTGTGCAAACAATGTTTTCATAGTTTGACCAAATGGGCCCCGTTCCTTCACATCATAGAACGATCTTAGTGTAAATCTCTGCCATAACGGCGGCAGATGATAAGCATTCCTCCAATGCCTGCTGGGCCTTTGATTGTTCCTGTTTTCAGTTGTAATGGATATTGCCCAACAAATTAAATCTGTTGCTCCCATATATCCATCCATCCATTATCTTTACCCGCTTATTCCATTTTGGATCAGCCTAACATGCATGTTTTTGGTCTGTGGGAGGAAACCGGAGCACCCGGAAAAAACCCACGCATGCACGGAGAGAACATGCAAACTCCACCCAGAAAGGCCCCTGGACCGGGGTTTGAACCAAGGACCTGCTCGCTGAGAGGCAGCAGCTCAACCAGTTGCGCCACCGTGCTGCCTTGCTCCCATATAAACAACATGTATTTCAGAACTTCTATTATTTCCTTGTTTTTTTTGTATTGTCACTGTGTACTTGTTGGTGTGATTAGTAGGCAGCAGAATGTAGTATGAGGTCTTAGCCGGTTTATGAACCTCTTTCAGCATGATAGGCAAAAGCTCTGGATTTGATGTGAAGTTTGAAGCTGTTTCAGATATTTTACCCAAATGAGTGGGATCAGATATCGTCTTCTGAAGGCAGAAACATGAGCTGTGCCATTTGTGACTATGCTGACTGTGTGCAGAGCTCAGCAGGAACAACCCCATGACTGACTGACACACACATAAGAGGAGCCAGGAGCAGGTGGCTTGGCTGTATCCCCATTTTTTAAGGGGCGAGATCCCGCACGCACTTATGATGTGAACGGGTCAGTTGTGACCCGTCTTAAATCAGCCAAAAAATGCCCTCAAAACAGTGTTTTTTTAAGAAGTATTAGAACACATCTCTAAAATAAATTTGTCTTATTATTTTGTTATTTTAATATTATTAACCATAGTAACATTTATAGTGTTAAGGGTAAGTTTTGACCCATGTATATTTACGTCAAAAAAAGGAAGAAACATTTCTTTTCAAACATTGAACTTTAATACCAATATAAAATAAAAAGCAGAACAAGTAATAATACAAAATACAGATTCAGAAAGACAAGAAAAAATCAAAATGAAATAAATACTCTTCTAGTTACAAACATGCTCTTTCTAGTTTCTTTCTGTCTTTCATGCATGCGTATGAACTTGCGTATGAACTTGCGTATGAACTTGCGTATGAAC